ACCTGATCGGGCAGGTCGATCCCCGTTGAGGGCGTTGCCCCCGAACCCCCACGAGATTACGGATTCTTGATTATTCGTGATCATCGCACGCCAAATTTATGGATTCTGTAATCTTTCACATGTAGAAGTTTTTGTTCCTTGAAGTTATATTTCAGTTATAAAATCAATAATGCCTTAGTCGTTGCAAGTATATAGGAAAAAGTAAAAGAGGTTAAAAACACAATTATACTTCCAACTTACTGCGTTAATTATTTGGTGTCACCAAAAGTAATCAACTATAAAGGTGACAAGATTAAATAAAAACATAATCAGGCGTTGGTGAATATATGAATTAAACAAATCATTCATTCTTCTTATTCTTTGGTATCTTTATATACAAAATATCTTTTTTTCTGGTCAACTTATAATGTCATGCAAAAAGATAATAATAATTACAATTAATTAAATTAAAGGGGATAAGATTAAATGGAAACACAGTGAGGCGGTGGTGGTGGTAGGAATAAAACAAATCCTTCATTTCTCTTCTTCATTCAATCCACTTCAAACCTCACAGCTTCACCGTGACATATGAGGGATTTTGGACTTTGAATTCGTTTGCTAAGTCAAAACGACACTTAATATTTTTTACTTCATTATTTTCAATATTTATTTATTTTGCTTTGTAGCCCATTCCATGAAGGGATCGCTGGCCAGTAGATTATCTATTGTTTTAGTATTTAAGCTGGTTTTGTAGGTACTTGATCTCTGTGATCCTCCATGCAAATTAATGAAACAAGTTAATATATTACCTCAAAGCCTTTAGGATTTGTAGTTCAGTAGATTCCTCAAGTATGGTTAGTTTGTTAATAATGTTTTTCATCACTTTAGTTGAATATATGCATTGGCATTTTGTCATGTAATTGGACACAAGTTTTCTGTTACTAGCAATAGTCCCATCTTCTTGAAGGCATCCGCGGTTAGTGTATTCAAACAATTTGTAGTCTATCAAGATCTTTTAATGTTGTCATGTGGCATGCTATTCCTTGCTATCATTATCTCTAAAAGCAATCTCTTAATCTTGGGTCACTGTATTAGCATGGATTACCAATTGTGACATTGATTAACTAGGAAAATAATATGTTTCTTTGAAATCTATTTTGGTAGTATTTTTTGAGGTCAGTATGTGTTGCACCTAAATGCATGCTCTTAGGTATGTTATTTTATCAATCCATCATGTTCTTTTATTTTTGTTAGACTCTAATTCAAAGTTTACTGTTTAACTTCTTCCTTCAGAATTTGTGTGCGAACATCATGAAGAATATTGTATTTCATGGATATACCATTTCTACTTCCATTGAGCCCAAACCATGCTAGTTTCTCTAAGTGAACAAGATCTGTTAGGTTGTGGTGGTGACAAAACTCTTCCATTCATACATATCATACAGGTTTTGGTTTTTATTACCTATCATGGATATTCACTATATTTTCTTGTTCTATTATAGCTTATTTATGTTTTTTCATCATTGTACCATTACTTGGCTTAGCCTCCTATTCAGCTTGGAGATGGATTGATTTTGTTTTTTCTGGCTACTAATTGCTCCCTAATTCTGTATTTTTATTTCAATTGCATGGGGCTTTTTCTTCATTTCTATGTCAGTATAGGATAAAAGAAACTTGATGAAATATTTTGTTTTCTATCTAATTATTGCTACCTACTTCTGTGTTTTTATTTCAATTGCAGGGAGCTTTTGCTTAATTTCTATGTCAGTTGAGGAAATAAGAAACTTGATGAAATTATCATTTTCAAGTAAATTATTGTATTCCATCTTGTAAATTACTACTTCCTCTTTGTTCAAGTTTTGGATTGTCCCTTACATCTTTATCAAACATTATTTCTTTTATATAAATGTGATAATTAAAATTTTGTAATACAAGCTCTCATCAATTCTTAGCATTTAAGAATCAAGACGCTAACATAACCTTCAAAATAACACGATCCGTGCATTGCACGGGTAAAAAACTAGTTTCGACAAAAGGGAACCCTTTGAGCTTCCAATTGTGAGTACATGGATTCGTCTTCTCATCCTCTTTTCTTTCTCTTAAGAACGATTATTCAATCTTTAGTAGGTATTTTGTAATTCAAACAAGAGTAGCTAAAATTTAAATTAGGACAACAATGAAGCATTTTTTTTTATGCTTTAATCCAATTTTCACGTTTTTTAATCCAAGTACGAATTAATGTTTGAGGTTCACTGTCGTGCTTAATGTTTCCATTTATATATCCAATGAACTGAATATATCAGTAGGTGATATATGTATTTTCGATCATAATAACAAATATCATAAACTTCAGTAAACGATAGAAATGAACTTATAGAATTTGTGCGATCGCATGAATGTTCATTGATTTTACTGTTTTTTGTATATTTGTAATTCTAATAGAGATGTGGAGAAATTTTACAACTCGAGATAGATTATAAAATAAAGGGATAATTGCAGCAAAAGCTCCAAACCTTTGATTTTTTACAATCGTCATCCCTAACCTTTCCAAATATTGCAGGTGGAGCCCTTTTGGACGGTTTCCATCCATAATTTCGTCAGTTGACCAAAAATTTAACTTTGACCACATTTTTAATATTTTAAAAAAGGGCAAAAAGAGTAATTTTATATTTATCACATTAAATAATTAAATTAAAATAAGAAATTAAAAAAAAAACCCACACTCTTCTTTCTCTCAACCCTCACCCAACGCCACCTCAAACCCAAAATCCACACCGCCGCCGCCGCCACCACCACACCGGCTAATTTGGAAGAGACTTGTGATCGTAGATGTTGTAATGAGCGTTACTATAGTCGGAGAGGAAGGTACGGAGATTGGATTGGTGAGCCAGTTCCCAGGCGGGATTTGACTGTTTGTCGCCAACTCCGGCTATCCAACCAGCACCAAGCTCCACCGTTACCCCACCGAACTCCTCCTTCCTTATTCTCCCTCCAATTTTGTCCGTCGCCTCTAGTATGACCACGTCATCCACTCCGTTCTTCATATTCTCTCCATCTTCGTCCCAATTTCTACACTTGATCTTCTCTATTTCGTAGCGTCCGTTTTCTTCAGAATAAGATGCAGAGAGAAAGGTGATGACCAGTGCCAATGAGTCATGTGGGAGAAAACCGGTTGGGAGAAGTATGAGACAGTGACGCTCGGTTATTCATCCAGCCCAAACCCAAACTGAACCTATTCAGTTAGACTTTTATGTAGAAGGGGGAAGGGGAAATGAGCCTATCAATGCAATATGAGGATGGTAGCTTTTACTAAATGAAACATTTAGGCTTCTCTACAGAATGTACGTTCTTTCACAGTGTGATTTGGTGTTGCAACCCTTTTGCCGTTGGAAAAAAAAAAAAGCAAAAAAAACTCTTCTTTCCCAGAAAGTCAGCTCCAAGAATGTGTTTTGTTTCAATGCCCTTTTGACTTCCTAGTTCTTTCGTGGGCTTAAACAGGAATGGAACTATTTCTGGTGAATGGCTATGGAAGTTCGAATTGTCATTTTCGACACTTTTAACATCTTTATATGTACAATTTGTGTTCTGATGCATATAGAGAACAACACTATTTTGCTTTGATGCAGATGTTGGATCTCAAGAAGCAGGTGGACTTCTATCATAATTCATCTCTATATGATGAATGCTAATTTTTCTGCCGAACATGTAAATATGTTGCATCAAGCTTCTAGATTGAATGAAGATAATACTGTTTTTTTCCTTTTTGATCTGTAGATAATCCTCAACAAGGTGGTCTGTCTTGAAACTACTCACACTCCCTTGGATTAGTCTTGCAATTGGTCTTATGCAGCGTTTTTTCAGGCAATATCACCTTTAACCTCTTTATCGCTCTGACAACCTCTATCCTCTAGTCTACCTCAGTCTAAATTAGGATTTTAAATTTATTCCCAAATTGCAAGCCCTAAAATACAAAATTGCAAACCTAGGATCTCTATTGCTACCATGATTTTGTTCTTCCTGCTGTAATTTTCGTATCAGGGTGCAGAAGACTTTGTCTTCGACTACAGCAACGCTCATTACAACATCTACGATCACATGTCTCTTCCAAATTAGCCGATGTGGTGGTGGAGGTGGATGTGGATGCGGCGATGGTATGGATTTTGGGTTTGAGGTGGGGGTGGGTGAGGGTGAGGGTGAGGGTTAGGGTTGAGAGGGAGGAGTGTTTTTTTTTTTTTTT